TATTTTTGAACACGACGGGAGTATTTCAAATTTCGTTGAAGTATCCCTTTAAGGGCTACCGGAAAAACCACTGGGCAAGCTGAGATCGTCTATGGCATTTTTAACCAAAAAGCGGCCGACGAGCTCAGCTCGTCCAAGGCACTTAAAGGCTTAAGAGAGCAGGAGAAAAAGAGGGTAGCCATAACACAGCTGCTTGCCCACCCCCACCCAAATATCCTCCGTGTGCCACGGCCACTTCGATACTACTTTGCACTAGTTATGCGCCTGAGACTCCAATTAGCATGATGATATTTAAAGGGGAGCTCCGGCGGTTTTTTGAGCCACCCAAACTAAACACATCTTCAGAATACTCAAGCTTTACTCTTCCCAGCATGCTATTTATTCTCTCTAAATTTAAAATAGCTTTGAGAAAACAGCAAATGAAGGTCATGCTAACACAAACATTCCAATTTTCCTGCACTCTCCAGTGGAGGTGACATTACATGTTATACAACTTTTAAGTCCAGCAGGCACTCTAACAATGCAGTAGTATTTTGCAAACTTGTTTCGCTGGTGTGAGATTCTCCGGCATTCACTACACATCACCAACCTCCTTGTAACCCGTCGGAACAAGCTGTACTGCCCACTATATTTAGCATCATGTTTTCGGAGATGCAAGTAGAGCCTCTCAGCCTTAATTAAAGTCTTCAACAACTTCGCAAAAATAATTATTGTGACTTGTAACTTGGGTTCAAGTGTGTCTATTAATGAGCTGAACCAATTTTGAAGCCGAATCAGTGATTATCATAATTTCGCCAAAGCTCCCATTAATTATTTATTTATTTATTTACATAAGAGAGCCTTGAAGTAAACACATTAAGAGGGTAGTGAGCTAACTATACTCATTTTCACCTCAAGAACTATAGTAAAAAAAAAGTCCAGCTCCTCCAGCAGTATTACTACTTTCCCCCTTCATGCAGTGAGTTAAGATGCTGTTATGTGCAGTTAAGATTAATTATTTGTCACTTCATCCAAATGCAAAGAGCACACGTTTTTCTTTCCGTGACAACCAAATCTTTTAAGAATTACTTAGCGCATCATATGATCTATGGACATAAAGTTGTCTGACAAGTACAGAAGCTAGGGGTGCGCTAAGATTCCAGTTTCAAATAAGAATCTAATAGTGATTGCCCGAATAATTACATTTCATTTTTGGACTACTACTAGCAGAGTTTTTGAATACATCAACACATCAAATGCTGCTGAACAAGACCCAGGTTTATTCAAACCTCGCAGGTTTTGGCGGGATATAAATCAGGCATGCCCTGAGAAGGCTCGACTGACTAACCATATAGATTTGAAGTAGTTTATCATATTCGTCAATCGAAGCAATTGTGCTCGAGCTCCTTTTGTGGGATCGATGACTACACGCAAACCACTGGTGTTACTATTTTAAAATGAAGTACCTTGTGTCACCTACTGCCAGCTCTTCGCGCTACAAACGAGATGCTGCTTCTATAATATGACAATGAATTACCAAAACGTTGGTAACATCATCACTGAACCTGCCTTCTAGGCTTGGCCGTAACCCATCGCTTCCCCTGGCTAGGTGGCGCAGGATGTCGTTCCGGTTTCAGCAACTCGGCTGTATCTGTCTAACCATCCAACATGTTACCGATGCTTCCAAACATGAATGATACAACGAACAGTAAACTGCTATGCCCAGAGCCGCATGCTGTACGCTGTATCTTGCAAGGCTCTTGGGGCCCAGGTTCTGCCTCCATCGTTTTCAATAGCACACAGTTCTCATTCCAACGCCCAAAGACACAGAAAAACTAAGAGCCGTTTCTCTAGTAATCTCTCTGTGTAATGTGACCTACAAGATGTATGCTGAAATTCTGACCAGACGCTTTGTCAGAATCTCCATGGTAAACCCTTGTGTGCGACAAGAACTGTTGAAATTGACAACGGTAGAAAACCCCGATTTTGAACAAAGTATATGTTGGATACAATGACTAATTATTACTTCACAACGCATCACTTTGTTGCACAACTGCTGATGGGTAATGTATACCACCTGGTGTGCTGTTTCAAAATTATTGTTTGTGTGTGTGCACGCGCATGTGTGTGCAGGCAGGCAGGCATGCATGCATACATGCATGCATAATATGGCCTCGCAGGCCAGATCCAGCCTGCCGACGGCCGGTTGCTGAACCCTGGTCTGTGCTAGAGTCGCTGAATGTTCCCAGAGTACCGAATTCCATTAAGTCCACATATCGAAAGTCAATCACCACAGAATCCAGTTCCGATTGGCTGGTTTAACCTGCAACCGAAGTTATCAGTCGGCCTTTTTGGAGATAGGCCCAAAAACAACAAAAAAGCGTACATAAAATGTTTTCATGTTACCACGGCTATGGCAGGTACGCACGAGTGGGAGCTTGAGCATCCACCGAACGGAAGGTATGTTGATCTTTCCTAGTTTTTTTTCGTTTTCTATCAAGTAGCCCCTAACCTGGTTCACCAAAGAAGACTGCTGGCTCGTTTGCTCGCTCCGGTTGCGCTGGTACTGCGTTTCAAACTCTACGCCCCAGGCGCTAAGCCTAACATTCGACTGATATGTTTCGAGGTGAGAGAGACGAGAGAGCGAGGAGCAGGTCACGCACCGCTCAGAGCAAAGGAAAGAACCTTAATAAAAAGAAACCAGTGTCGCCACGGGCCAGGAACGTGGATTGAAGAGTTTGCACGAGAACGAACACTACACTGTGCGTGCTTTGCTTCAACCGCACAGGGCAGCACCATGTTGGGGATCGCGACTGCTGCGACGCAACTCTGTGACTCGCGTTTAAAGCAAAGCTTGGGAGTTTCCGTACTCTGGGAACCTTCAGTGACTAGTCTGTAACAAAGGGCTCATTCAGAAAAATTTATGTTTGGCATATTAGTTTAATAGTTACTTTAAGTAATTTAGCTTTTAATAAAAAAATGTGAAGGTATGGATTTAATTAGACACTTTCTGGGCATCATAAAAAAAAAAAAGATCACTAAATCAACTTGTTTTAGAAAGATTTAAGGTATAGTGGTGGAAAGAGCCAATGAAGCCACATGAGCATGTTGTCTAGAGCTACACGCATGCGTCATACCGGCAGCAAGAGGAACCACACGAGCCAGGCTTTGGCCGATAGCGAGATTAGCGACTACCAACATCCGGCTGTCCGGCCCTGCTATGCTTGATAGCGTCAACCTCTCGCAATGGCCGGCGCCTGGCTTGCGTGGTTCCTCTCCCCTCTAGCATGACGCGTGTGTGTAGCTCGAGGCCACACGCTCATGTGGCTTTGTTGCCACTTTCCAGAACTGTAGATACAGCATTTTACGACATTCCCAAAAAAATGTGTAACTTAAACACATCCCCCCCCCCATGCGACCAAAGCGTGCAACTACTGCCTCGCCTCCCTCGTAGGAAGGAAGTGTGGTGCACGTGAGTTGTGTCTCAGCTACAAAGGGAGGGAGGGAGGGGCAGAACCACTGGCGCAAAGATGCGCTCCTATAGGAAACCAAAAGCTAGGAAATGCGTCCAAATTGCAAGTTTTTTCGGAATGCCGTAAAATGCCTGTATCTGCCTTATATCTTTCTGAAATTAGTTGATTTAGATGCTTTTCAATGATGGCCAAAAAGTTTCTAATTGAAACCATACATTCAAACTTATGGCGAATTCCACTGGACGTTTTGGAGTGCGCCGGGATCAGTTGACCAGATCCGGAATGGAGCACATGATCCGAGTGGGGTTGCATAGCCTACGGATCCCCAGTGGAACATGACCACTGCTCCGGGACCGGCGGATGCCTTCCCGTCATTCACCTGCTTGGATATACCCTTTCCGCGGCCGCCGCGGTCGTTTTGAAGACGTTTTCGTAATCGCGGTGCTTACACGTGTTTGACGCACGAGCGGCAGGAATGACTCAGGAGCTTCTAGCAAAGATTGCCGGAATGCCCGTAACGCAGCAAAACCTTCTCTTCTCCTTCCTGGAAAACGAACCGGCTGTCGAGCCAAGAGGTAAGCAAGCGGCCATTAGAGATGGGCGAGATCAGGCGAGATGCCCCGCGAGAAAGGAAGTCACATGTGTGCGCTGAGGGCTGGCATGGCTGGCTTCCGGTTGAATCCGCCAAAATCGGCGGAGCGACTTTTCTCAGATCCAGATCGAGATCTGGAGCGGGAGCTAATCCAAAACGACCAGTGGAACACGTCCGTCTCGATCCCGATCACCCAGTGAAATTGGCTCGCTCCAGAAAAGTCGATCCCAGCTCGCTCCAAAACGACCAGTGGAATTCGCCCTTAATCATTAAAAACTTAATTAACCCAGAAGTGATTATTAAGCCGATTAGACCAAACATAATTAATTTCCCCAAATGGGCCCTTTGTCAGACCTATACAACACTGAAGGGACGGTGAACCAAACATTTCAGTGTCTACAATAAGCGGCGCATTATCTCTTCGTAAGTCAGGAGCCCCTGGTGCGCGCGAGCAAACGCACCGAAATTTATGTCATCATATCCCCCATTCACACTTAATAAGCTCGAATGGGGGATATGACGACGTCAATTTCGTTGTGTGCACACGCACACCGGTGGCTGCTGACTCATGGAAAGATAGTGCGCCGCTTATAATAGACACTGAAATGTTCGGTTCACCATCCCTTTAACATCTTCCGAGTGCGATGCAGATTTTTCGCAGGGATGTGGCCTACAGAGATGCAAATAGCTTGCCTCCATACCCCTAAAAAAAAAAAGAAGAAAAAAGCACACACACACGCAATGTAAGCTGCACATACTCTTACTTATCTCGGACACCGGATGCAAGCATCAGAACGAGAAGAAGATTGGTCCTCTGCACCGACACCCAGCTCGCTAAGGCGCAGAGAAATCCTTCCCTCCTTTGCCCCCTTACCCCGTCGACTTCAAAAGCAAAAGGGGAAATGTCCGCTCTTCTAGAGAGCACCCTTGAACGCAGACACGCCGACAGCACCCACCTTCTGTCCGTCAGGAACCCTTCTCCGCGGTGGCGACGGCAGCATCCTCCGTGGCTCCCTGTGCCGCCGATGGGGCCTCCTTGAATTCCTTGAATCCCTAGAGTCCCTCGATTTCCGACGCGGCCTGGAGCACCGGCGCACTGAGCCGTCCGACGATCCACACGAGGAACTCCTCGACGTAGGGGACGACGATCGCGAGCCCCGGCTCCAGGACGAGCGCATGGAAATGCGAGACACGCTCCGCCTGTGCGGGGAGCGACATCGCTTGGGCGGCGAGGGCGAGCGCGACGCTGGCCATTGAACAGTGCGCTCCTTTTTGTTTGCTTGCTCCTGGTCGGCGTCTTGTGCCTTGCGGTCGCCCCTGTCTGTCGTCGATCCGGTGCAGTAGTCGTGGTCCGGAGTTGCGGCGGGGCAAGACGCCTGGACCATGGCGTCACTCTTGGTAACGGGACGGCCCCGATCGGGAGGCTGGATCAGGATCGGCCCTTTCTTCTTGGTGGAGGCTGCCTTCATGCGGTCCAGTAATGAACTTGAAACTGGGAGAAAAAAAAAAGAAAAAAAATTGTAAACTCGTGCTGTTCCGGATTTTCCTTTATGTGTATGGGATGTTCTAGGAAGTGCAGGCCCAAAGTTAGTCTCGAAAAGCCATACACTGAATGCGGAGACAGTGACACCATATTAGACTCTGCAAGATGCAAATAATTGACTATTTAATTATTCATGATTACTCATTTCTGATTTTGCAAAATTAAAGCATAATGCACATAAAAGCTTGCTGAAAATTATTAAAAAAAAAAAAAAAAAAAAAAAAAAAAAAAAAAAAACAATCAATTGCTACCAGAATGCATGAAGTTCATCCTTTCATGCACTTTTAAAGGGAAAAAATTACAACCTACTTAGTAGTTTCGTTTACACATTGTTCAGTTTTTTCTGGCCCCTTCCGAATCACAGAGGATAGATAGCTTTGTTAAATAGTTACACACCATCCAATGCTTTCCCCAGAATGTGTGTGCAATGTTTTTTTAAGCAGCACCATACCCCTCTCCTAATGTCAAATATGATGAACCTTGTTGCAGCATTGCACATGCACTGTTAAAAAAAAGTTTTGTCTGCAATTCTTTTAATTTAATTTTTTTTTTGTTACAGCGGAGCTGTTAAGGGCTACTTTCCCCAGGATTGTGTGTGGTACCAAACAAATGTCGACACCCGTGGTCGACAACACTGTTTGCCACCGTCGCTCATAGATGGCGGTAGCTGTCCAGAGCTGTGTTTGCCGGTTGTCTGCTTTGCAGCCGTCGCTCATAGATCGCGGCAACCTTTCCAGCCTCGGCAACCAGACAACTGGTTGCTGCTGTTGCTCGTAGATGGCAGCAAAATTTCTTCGGAGGAAGAAGAGCGGGAACGGAACGAGCAGCGATGTGCGCAGCAGTGCGAATGGTTCCACAACCGCCGCGAGACCGCTATCGCCTAAAGTTCCACTGCGTCGAGCGCTTCAGATTCCCTTGCGAAAGAGCAGATCGCTCGCCTGGAAAGCCACCGCCGAGAACAGAAGCTACCAGCTCTGTTGCTCTTCCCTCTTCACCAGAGGGCGAAGGCTGAAAGTTTTTTTATTTAAAAATACTGCAGCTCTCCATTGATAGCCAGAGCAGGAGTGACATACAATGTTCAAATAGACAAGAAAAAAAAAAAAGCCACAAGAGCAGTTAAATGAATATACAGAAAAAGGAACATGCACACAAAAGTTCTCTAATTAAAAATGTCATTATTAGCATTAGTAAATTTCTCAATTGAAGGAAATGCTGCTACTTCATTATCTGGCGAATTCCATTCTTGTATTGCCCAAGGAAGAAATGAATATTTGAAAACATTGTGTTTAAATATGTAATGCTGGATAGATTTGGTAGGATTGATTCTGGATGATCCGGTTGAGGAGAAAGTGATATAATTATCAACATTAAAAGGCAACTCCGCTTCATTTTTGTTTAAAAAAAAAAACAGAAAAGAAAAAAAAAAAAACAATGCAGTCCTCTTCAATATCACCTAGGAAGACCACACATCAAATATTACGATGTAGTTCTGTCTAAAAGTTTCTTAAATGATCCGGCAAACTTTGCAACTCGCCAAGGTGATGAAACTCGCTGGCTCAAACGGGCGTATTGACGCGCAACCAACAGCGCAGTCAAGGCTACGGCATGGGCGTCGCTAACATTGAGCTAAACGACATCACCATTACCCTCTTTTGTGTGTTTTCACTTCTCTGGGCAAGCGTAACGAGTGACGTCGGCAATGTTTCCTCTTGGCGCTCATCAGTGCTCACGTGAATGGCATAACACACCTGCGCAGCGCGCTTCTTGGGAGCCGTCCGGCCAACCCGCCGTGGTCCCTCCGTTACCACAGTCTCCCACGTCACAACCGCTGTCGTCGTCTCACCGTTTGCGATTATTGTCTCTCGGAGTTTCGTCCACACTGCGGACACTACCTGAACAGACTAATGCCGCAATTGTGCAGACATCGTCGAATGTTGTAGACACCAAAACGTGGTGAAGAGTGCGGTGCGGATGACACGCCTGGCACACGCCCACCCCAATCCCGCCTGTCGCTGCGCAGAGGATCACGTGTCATCTCGCACCACGTGATAGTCATGTTCTTGGCGGCATGAGGCCAATCTCGCAGGACGGAGCGGAAGTATCGGTTCTGATTTCTGCTCGTGCTTAAAATTAGATTTAAAAATATATATCCTATTTTTTCCTGAAGCAAATGACGTAGTGTGTTTTACTAGAGCTTTTTAATGCGAAATCACTTATCTCGAAATCATTCGGAGTTCCCCTTTAAAGTTTAAAATTGCCATGAAGAAAGAAATACAAGTATTCTGATATGCTTATTGTTGCCTTAGCTCCTAAAGTTTGAATGTTGGCTTGTTTAAAGGGGCAGTGCAACGTAATTTGCTTGGAATGTTTTTCTTTTTGCATGAGCTTACTGGCACCAGTGGGACCCAAGTATATTTGCACACAATGCCACTGACCAAGAAACTCCTTTGTTGCAGTGCAATTTCAAGGACAAAAGTGAGCGTTTTCTTTCAGCCGCTCCATCGCAAAACTTGACGACGTAGCTGGGGGGTTGCATGCAGTACGTCCCAGTGACGATATTTGGATGTTGCTCATAAATTGGACCTGAGCATTGCGTGAGTATTCAATATGGGCTCGTGACAATAGCTCGACAAGCATTCGGGTAGTGGCCAGTGTCCAATTACTGCAAAAGACGACAATAGCCAAACCATAACAATGTCTGGGAGTCAGCGCGTGTCCTGTGCTTTTTGCCGATTCCCCAGCACGTGGCAATGACCAACATTGGTGGCATATAATCGGCTCCAGATCACGTGCCTGCTTCCTCTGGCTACGAGTTGAGAGGGGTGAACGCTGCTTGTTTTTCTTTCATTATTTTTTTTTTTGCGACCTTTTTTATGTGTGGTGAAAAAGGAATGAGTGTTTCATAGGTCATTAACGCCAGGAATTCATTCTACACAGTATTTGCACAAAGTACAAAAATCGTTTTATGTTTAAGCATGTACGACATAGAAATGTGGTTTCTGAATGTGTTGAGAATGAATCTAACGCCCTTCTTTTGAACACCTCCCAGTTTGCATAATTCATCTTCCATGTGGGGAAACCAAATGATACTAGCAAACTCCAGTATAGGTCTAATTAGTGTTTTATATGCTATATTTTTTGTTTCAATGTCTGGAAATTTAAGTGTGCGTCTAAGAGTAAAATCTCACTTTTCGCCTTGTTCACAATGTTGTCAATATGCTGATGCCAAGTCAGTTTTTTGTTAAAGTTAACACTAAGATATTTATAATAGCCTATAGTTGTATGTCTTTTCCATTTACAAAGCAGCTAAATTTCAGAGTACTTTTTCCCAGGTTATTAACATTGCTAGTTTTTTCGTAATTTATTTGCATCTGCGATCTGCTTGTTCATTCCTATATCTTATGTAGGACACTGTTAGGATTTAACTGATCCTCTTGGGTTGCTATCCCTGAGTAAATAATGCAATCATTTGCGAAAAGCTTAATTGGAAACTGCAAATTTATAAAAGTATTGCAAAAAAAAAAATGTGGCCCAACCATTGACTTTGGGGTATGTCAAAAGTAACAGGAAGATATGGGGATGACTCAATATTGATTTGGACATATTGGGATTGATTAGGCAGTAAACCAAGTCAATAATTGTTAATTTTTTTAAAGTGAAGATAGTTTGAGCACTAATTTAGGGTGTGACACAATCAAAAGCTTTTAAAAGTCTAGTAAACTAACATATGGGCGGTTTCATCTCAACTCAGGCATGGGTTTGGGGTCGAATTTTTAATTTTGACTAAAAAATTATGTTTTGGGGAAACCCTTTTGCGACAGGGACTGCAAACCGCAAGTTCACGCAATCTTTTGTTCTCGAGTTTTGGACATTTTAAGCAGCCGAGGCGCAACCTTACTTTTCTCTCGCCTGTTGGATGTGTCATGTTTCACGCCTTTCCTTTTTGCCCTTGCTCTGGTAGTGCAATGTAACTTTTTTCGGCCAATCTCAGAATATTGATTATTTATGGTCAATAATTTTATTGTGATTATTTATATTCCCTTTTGTTTTAAATACTGTCAAAGTGGGTCCCTTTGACAATATTTGTCAAAGTTAGACCAGCTCTTTCGTGTGACCTATTTGAGACATTGTACCGTATTATTTTCAGAAAGCTGAGAGTATACTCTTTCTATCGACATCAAATTTAATGTGTGTGTAAAAGAAAAAGCGCACTGTATTCTCGTAAAGCAAGGACTATTTCAAAATATTTGCAAATTGGAGGTAAATTTTATAAAAAAAAAAAAACACCTTTTATTGACACCACCACAACGCTGACAACGCCACCAAGGGCAAAGCTCATAGCCACGCCAGCCTTGCTACGTCACCAATTCGGGGAATCTTTTCTTTCTGCTTTTGTTTGCACCGGATATCCCATGACGCATCGCGCGCTCTGTTCGCTTCTCTTCGAGCGCTTGCTCGAGTGCACCATTTGGAACGAAAAAAATAGCCAGTCGTTGAAAATACAAACGTGCGATTATCATTTATGGTCCTTATCCGTCATGCTTGACTCATTTCCGAGTGAAACTTGGATATTTAAATTTTTGCTTCCGTACCCCTTTAAGAAACATTTAGACAGAGCTAGGTCGTAATATTTGACAAGGGGTCTTCCCAGGTGATACTGAAGAGGACTGCATTGTTTTTTCGAAAACAAAAATGACGCAGAGTTGCCCTCTAAAAGGACACCGACACCCCCCAACATTTATTTCTTATTTTTTGCCAGGCAATTCATTATGGTGTCAGAAAACTACCCAATCAATATTTTGCTACAGCATCACATATAGTTTTAATAAAGTAAAAAAACGCAACTGCTCGAAACCGAAACTGGACTGGGGAGGACGAAGAAATTTACAGGAAGAGAGAGTTGGCAAAAGTCACGTGACTGTGCAACATTTTTTTCTTCTTCCAATCAATGTATTTGCAGCTTTTAAAAGCCACGAAAAACTAGTATCTTATTTCTTTTATATTTTAAACTTTTGTGCGTGTACCTTCGATGACCCACGACTTCGATTATATTTGGTAATTGTGTCTAAACCATAGAAAACGGCATGTGACCACAGAGAAGAGAATGAGCGCAACTCAAACCAGCCAGTTCTCAATTGGCGGTTTTCGGGAGGGAAGAAAACAAATTTCAAGCTGCGAATTGTTTTCTGGGTAGTTGGGCTCTCATACGTCCTGTACAAATGAAAACCTTGGCGAGCGTAAATATCCTGTCAGTGTCCCTTTAAAGGGCAACTTCGGTTTATTTTACATATTAAGAAAACAATGCAATTCTCTCTAATATCGCCTAAAAATACATATGCCAAATATTGCAATCTAATTCTGCCAAAAGTACATACAAATGGGAAACAAAGTTTGAGTTGCGCGAAATCACCAAAATTGGCTAATCCTACCGGGCAAGGTGGGGTAAAGCCGACAGCGCACCGAATACTACCATATTGGCGCAGCCCACCGTGCGCTACCTACATCATGCTCAGGGCTGGCTCTCAAGGGGATTTGTTTGCTTGTTTTCTTTTGAACTTTTTCGAGGTGGAACGAGCATGCGCGTGTGTGCCCCCGTGTGAGCATGCGTCACCGCCGGCAGCGTTTGTCACGTGCGACGTTGAGCACCGCGTAATTCTACTAACCCGTCGTGACATATTTAAGTGTGGTTTACTGAACTTCCCTTCCTACTAAAGTTTTTAAAACAAGTCCTCGGGAAAAGTTGCCTTTTTCTGCGGTAAACACAAGCTGCGGCCGTCGTCGGGTGCAGCAGATCGCCGATCGTAGCAGACACACTCGCCTTTGCGCCGAGATGAACCCGGACGCCTAGTACGTGACGCCACAATATGTACCACGTGGTTAGAGAGAGTATGTATGATGACACGGAAGCAATGTTGCCCACCACAGCCAAGGTTTCGGTTTGTAGTAAGCTTTAAATGAATATTGCACGAAAAATATTGCACTTCTTTTTTGGAAAGAGATGACGTAAAACTCGGGATATATAATCAACCATGAACTCCACCTTTTTTTTAATTGACCAGAATTGGCTTTTAAAGGGTCACTGGCAGGGCATTTATGCTTGCCCAGGTTTTTATTTCTACATGACATACGAGAGCCCAACTACACAGATCACAATTTGCAGTTCGAAATTTGTTTTCTTTCCGCCCGAAAACCACCGATCTAGAACTAGTCAGTTTAAGTAACATTCACTCTCTTCTCCGTGGTCACGGGCCTTTCTCCATGGTATAGACACACTCACCTAATATAATCAGTCGTAGGTCATCAAAAACACACAGCCAACATTAAAAAAAGAAAAAAATGCTAATAAAAAGTTGCAAATACGTTGATTAAAAATGAAAAAAAAATTGCACAGTCGCGTCATTTCCGGCAACTCTCACCTCTATAGTTCTTCCTCCCATTCCAGTTTCGAGCAGTTGCGTTTTTTTACTTTATTAAAAATATACGAGACGCTGCAGCAAAATATGAAATTCAGTCTTCTGACACCATGATAAATCCCCCAGCAAAAAATTTAAGAATTTTTTTTTTATTTTGAAAGGAGGGGGAGGGGGGGGGGACAGTGTTTTCTAAAGGAGGTTAGAGAGAACCCCATGTTCAATTGTTACATTATAGCTTTTATTTACGTTATACATGGTGTCTGAAGTCACCTCCATACGCACGTTCACCAAAAACGTAGCAAGCTACCTGCGGAACAATTGAGTGCATGACTCGTGTAACATTTAAGTAGCCGATGACCCTCCCCCCCTCCCCTTTGTTTTGTATATCTAACTTCCTTCCCCTCTCTGCTTAAGAGGCACTGTAAACCTTTCGGTATGGACGTAACGCCTGATCGCAGTGACCCAACTCTCCAGAGTTAAATAAAGAAACAAACAGAAACAAAACAAATAAAATGGACCGTAAAAATTGACACCTGTACGAAGCAATCTAAACTTTTCTTCAAAAAAGTATTTCAAAGGTTCGTCTTTTTTTTCTTTCCTTTTTTGTAAATTTACAAAGCGTAGTTTCCTTTCTGTAAAAAAATAGGGCCAAAAACTTGCCAGGGTCAACAACAGGCAGAGACACAGATGACAGAGTCGAGCGGCGGTGCGCAATTGGCGCACATTCTAACAACATGCAGCTGTGGTTCTCTCAAATGTTGTCACTTCTCACCACAAATGCAACAAGCGCTCCAGCAGATGGCTGAAGTCCCAGCAGGTGTCATACCTGTGATGCCGAGTATTCGCCGCTGACTGTATCCTGCTGACCCACCCAGCTGAGTAACTGAATGCACTCCACTTGTGGAGCAGAGTATTGCAAGTCTCTCAGTTTTGATCTAGGTATTGCAGGGAGCGGGGGGGTTGGTGGGCCGAGTCGGCTAGCGCACACCAGCTCGGAGCATGTGAAGCAAAAGCTCGCGCTGCAGAACCCAAAGATCCTGGGTCCAAACCCCACCCCTGCCAGTTGGTCCTGTATCACTACTGCGTGGTGCCCGTTAAGGACCCCAGGCTAGCGGTCGGACCGCACTGGCTAAATTGCTCATCTACAGCTGAGACACCAGACGCCCACTGAGGCAGACTAACTTCCGGCTGTATAAACATACACACTACAATTTTGCAATTTTATTGCAGGAAGCAACCGTCACCCTTGCAGGAGATTCAGTGGTGTGCAGCACACCCAACCTTGGTTCATATTTTCGCGCTGCAGTGCACCCCTTCCCTCTGAAATGCACGCTGTGCACAGATTAGTCGTTTGCTTGTCACTTTAAAATGGTGCTAACATTATAAAAATAATGCCATTACATATTATCTAACTGGCATAGATAACGTACAGGTTCAAGATACTTTCCACTCATAGGGTTTCCACATTTCGCAAATGTAAAGCAAAAAATAGGTTCCACCCAAAACTCGGCACACTGAGAGACCACTTCCCCGCAGAGATTTTGAGTAATTTTGAGCATGTGACCCCCTCACCAATAAAAAGTAAATGGCAAAAAAAAAAAAAAAAAATTCTTTAGTGTTATTTTTTAGTTACTCTACACCCAACCACCACTGCGAAGCACTCACCCACGGGTGCATCCTCTGGAAGTTTCTTGGGCGTCTTGGGGGTAGAAGGCTGCTCCGTCTCAGTTTCTTGTGAAGGCGGCAGCCCATTGGCCACACTGGTTTTGTCGTCGTCAATAGAGACCACGTCCACTTCCTCCTCCGCAGAATCTATTTCCGGGAGCCCCTCTGTATCAAGTACCATCTCCGTGTCCATGTCCTCCACGGCACTGAGGAGGTCAAAGGGCAGGTCACCCTCCAGCAGGCTGCCGAAAAGCTCCTCGTCATCGTCTTCGAGGAGGGGTCCTGACAGCAGGTCAAAGTACATCTGCTCCATGCTGGTGCACTTCAAGAGGTTGTTAATGTCCATCGAATACATGGAGTGTCAGCCTCTGAAAGAAGAGAGAGAGAGAGAGAAAAAAAAGGGAGTATTAGTTGTTATTGTGTCCCTTGGCTCCCACCAAAATTCTCCCTCTTTAAGGGTGAAGTGAAGGAATTTCTTTAATCTTATCTGCCACGCCGAGGATTTTACGGATGAAAACGGTACAATCTCCCGCATTATTTACACAGCGTAAAGTTTGCACTTTAAGGCAATACACGACAATAACCAGCCAGCCTTGTAAAATGACATCACGTGCAAGCTGCGAAGTGTACGAAATCATGACGATTTGAAGATGAAACGCACCAACATTAATTTGAAGAGGCAGTTTGTTTTTCCATCTATATGCTGGATACAGGTTAGAACAAACAACAAGTGCACGCAACACGCGGGTACACATGGTACCGGGCTTAATAGCCGCAACGCGATAAAGTGATCCACTTAATAAAATTGATTCGAAGTCAAAGTGGTGAGACACCTCCGCTATTAGTACTCGAAAGTACAGTTGTAGATCGGTTGATATCTACGACCCAGTACATGCGCACATGTGGGCCATACCGCGGGACCAGCATCCGCCTGAAATGAATCGTCGGCGTGGTAGGCGGCACACCGCACGACACCCTTTCGAGAAGTTAGTGAATCGGTTTCGAGCACCCGAATTATCAACATGCATTTGCGCGACGACGAGCCGCGACGACACCGATCCAAAACAGGGGACAAGGGAAAGAGCCGGGCTTGCTTGCACTCTCGGAGCCAACAATATGGCATGCAGGGAGGGCAAACCGGCTACACGTGTGAACATGTTCTCCGTGTAATTACTTCACACGGCTCGATATGAGCACGCCTAAAACCAGGGGACGTGCACAATAACCCCACCTTCACGATGCCGAAGCTGTCAAACTTCGCGTAAACAATTTACTACGCATTTTACAGTCCTCAATAAGCCTAAAAACGTTACACGTGTTCCGGCCTCTGAAAGGCACCAGTGCCCTAGAAAAGAAGTCTACGACAGTGCGATCGAGCGGGCCGAAGAAACGGACGAAAGTTCAGGTACTCACGCTGCCACCAAAATACTTGACAACATATACATTGAGCTGTGAACAAATTTTAAAAGGACAGCAGCACGTGGCTCATAGCACTTGACATACTCGACGGCTCAGCGGCTCAGCCAAACAGCGAAAACCAATATGCAGCTTCTGATGCAGTCCAAGAGGTGGCAGCGTGGTCGGCGTGGTGGCAGCCGGTGCAACCTGCGGAGGAGAGACCAAAGCCGGTCGTGAGGGAGAGAGGCCGCGGAAGTGCAGCGGAAGATCGCAGTGGATTTTTTTCTTGCAATCAATCCAGTCCACATCCAGTCTACAATCCTACGCAATCCGTATAATGACTCGTTGGAGCGCGCGTTCCCCTACGTTTATACTGCTATTTTATTTCACAGTGCATTTCTTTCCTTCCACTCGTACGAGAGGTGTTACCTTTATTACTGGGCACCAGTGTTTTATCGGTTTTATTAAACACCTAAGGACATCAGTGGTCGGCTCTTTCCGAGGAAGCATTGGTTCTCGGGTTGCAAGACCGCATATGAATGTGTGAGTAAACGCCGTGCCGCTGAAAGTTCGGCCGCTTCGGCCTTTCTCAAGCTTGTCGTCATCGTCGGATGACGCCGTCAGTTGATGTGGCACACAGGTGTCGGCCTCGTCATCGTGTTTTTCCGTCATGTTTTGCGGCGCTTACCACGTTGCGTACCCCAAGAGATCGCAATCAAAGACCCCCGCGGTGTTCGATTTAGCCGGTACCGGTTCGTCAATACTGTAGTGCCCCGTGGACCGCGTTTTTTTTTTTTCTTTTATTTATTTTTTTTTTATAAAAAGGAAGAAAAAAACAAAATTAAACAGATTTCAGTCCCCTCTGGTTAAGTGCAAAGAAACATTCGTAAAGAACAACAACGCTACGCATACATTTTTTTTTTCTCGTGTGTTGTGGCAGCGAGGCAAGCGGCAACATGAGATAGAAGCTCTGTGTAAAGGCTTGAGTACACAAGAGGGGATAGGTAAATGAAAGCAAACATCCAGATTCGGTAACCACTGAAGTGGGTGAAAGTATGCAGGTGGTGTGGTTCTGTAAGAAAATGGTTCTAAGCAGAGTGTGAAAAACAAAAGAAAACTGGTGCACCAATACCTCCTATATAAGTAGGGTTCTGCGTTTTCAGTTAAAGGCCGACATAAACTTCGCGCTTTCCACTTTTGCCCGCCTCGTCCTTTCTTTTATCCTGATATCCTCTCCAGTTTTTACCTTGCCCCAACGTGGCTCCCCCGGCGGCTTAGGAAAGGGGAGCGCTAAGGGAATTATCTTCCAAAAACCGAGGTTGTACGTCGGTCTTATAAACATGTGTCGAAATTATTTTTTGAGAATACGGTTTCAACTGAAAAGAGGTCATTATTTGGTATGGCACAGCTAATAGACGTTTGGAGGGGGGGTGTCATCATATGACCTTGTGACGCACTTCCCTATTCAGTAGTCATTAAGTCATTCACCTTTAGGAACATCCTTCGTTATGCTAAAGGTGGATTTAGCAGTGACCAGCTTTTGGGGTTTAAATTTTTATTCTTTGTGATGGCGTTTTGTGTGCCAAGTTCGCTTTCCTTTGAAGTTGGGATTTGGATTGTTTTCATTGTCGGAAATGTCCCATTACTTCTCAACGTATGACGACATATTCAAAGTTTCTGTCAGAACCTATAACGAGATATTGGAGTCAATGTGCCCGCCAACTTGAAGAAGAAACTCAGTCGGAAGAAGCATGAGTGAAACAGAGACAGTAAAAATCCCTGAATATAGTGCTATCCTCAATGACAGCAGCATTTACCACCTTCAGACCTCATTCCCTTCACAAGCCTAATGAGAACTGTTTATATCTAAATAAAACTTAAAGGTTTTCCTGTACTTTTGGTGCCATTACAGGCACCTGCATTGTTGCGCTGGCATTTATGCATAATGTGATCTTTGACTACAACTTGAAACCCATGGGTTCTTTTGCAGAATCACCGTTAGCAGGGGTGCAGAGCAGGGGTGCTCTGTTCAAAAATAGTCAGAGTTGTGGCAGCCAGCAAGAATGACCCATGTCAGTCATAATGTAACACCTGAGACTGTGGTGAGGATATATTAAGAAACCTTCAAGTCGAAGGAGAAAACAACAAACGAGATTGTCTCCATGTCCCCCGGCCCAACTGCCCTGCTTGCCTGACGTCACTGATCCCTGCAAAGCGGAGGGTTGCCTTTGCCACAGATACGCTTGCTTACCCGGCACCACCATGTGGAAGCCGAGCGCACCTTTTGTCCGCCACCTTCGTGTTGTGCATGCTCTCATTAGTGGAGCCTATACAGAAGTTGTTCATCATACACTTCTCTGCAGTCTCAGGGTTTCAAATTCAAAATTAACGTCGATCAAAGCAGTTGCGAGATTTGCCGTCTTTTTATTCTCTTTGGATGTTTTGTCTCCTTTAAAACTAACTCGGGTTCATGTTGTACCTTGATGTACACTGCGTGACACAATGAGGAGAATCAAGACATTGATACTTTTTGGCATTTGAGTTGTGTAGATTTCTGTCCAACACAAAATTTTACAACTTAAGTTGGTGTGGCACAGACCCTAATGTCCTGAGAGATATTACCCTAATGTCCTGAGAGATGCCCCACACCCGAAAGATAACCCGCCGCCCATTTTTGTTTTCAAAAACACCGAAAGATAGCAGAAATAGTGTTACTTAGCCAAGACGGGAAATAAGCCAACATTGCTGACTGGAAAGGACAGTCGTCTTTGGTTCATCATTTCTTTTTGCAATCAAAGTTTGGCAGGTCACAGAATCTAAAACTAGCATTTTTTAAACTTTTTTGATTGCACACTAAAAGTTAACTTACTTTCTTCACCGGATTTGCTTTCGATTTTAGGTGTGCTATCTCTGCAGATATTATGGTAGGATGGCAACCTCTTGGTTATAATTGAGATAAATAGACTGAACAATTTTTTATGTTCATTGTAAAAAACATTTGCAAATATTTTTCAGTGTTTTCTTCAAGAGCTGGTCTATTTTGTCCATTCATTTTATGCAAGCGTTAGAAACTGTGATTAGTGGTAAAAAAATGACTAATAGGCAGAAAAAAACAAAAAACGAACTAAAACTATGAAGAGTTCAACTTAATTGACAATTTGTAGACACTGCTATAATGCTGCATGTTTATGATATGACAGTGCTTACAAACGATAGACAATGAGTCCGAACACTCGTCAAAGACTGAGCCTTTAGTTTTCTTCTTATCCTGCTGCCCCCTGTGTGATGACGAAAATTGAAGTGTTCTGAAGCAAAATGTTTCCTCCACGAGGATGGCAAGTTGCTGTCACTTCTTTTGGAACATTCAGTCGACATCAGCCGACAGTGTAGTTTCGAACACTGCCATTCAGCTCTTACCTTGAATAGGACAAGCATTGTCATCACCTGTGGTGGCCGACTAACTTACTTAAAGGCAAACTATGTATTTGAAATTATGCATTTGAGGAAAAACAATTAAATTGTCTTCATTTGGTCTCCAGAATCACAAATATCAAAATTATATTTCAGATTGATTCTCCCAGTAGCCACCAGAGCACTTTCAAAATTATGTGGAAGCCCTTCCTTCCCGGCTTGTTCGGTGGGAGGAGGTAGTCGCGACGTATTATACAAAGATCTCAACATCGCCGCGCCTTCTGCAACCGTTCCCCAAGCAGTCAGAAACGCTGCACGCGTTTTCTCACTAGCGGCATGCGGAATGTGTGCTGCTTGGGAGGGAGTGTGACGTCGCAGTCACCCAGCGGTTGGTTTTTGTGTTTTTTTTTTACATCTGTTGATATGTTTGGGTTGAATGCTTGTGATATTCAAATTCACAGGACAAAAATATGCTAGGTTTCACCTCTAACTCATTTTTTTAAAGAAGCCCTTTAGCTTCCCACTGTCTTCATGGTCAGCGATTCCATTGATTTGGGACGGGCAGGGTGCTTGATTCTAAGTAAGATTACGCTCCTGATGAACGTCTAAGAAGGGAGGATTTCAACAAAAATGGTCTTCGCTTAGAGCCAAGATTTTCTAGATTTGGGTGTTCTTCGGTTTTAACCGATTTTGTATTTTTGTCAGTGGCAGATGTTTGTCTGTATTTTTCGGTTTGGACCGGACAGTGAGCGGCATAGTGATGGCAGAAACTGGCGACTGGGTGCTTTTACTAACTGTGTCAACTTCCCCTTTTTCTTCCGAAGCTCTAGTGGCCTACGGTGAAGTACCTTGTGTCCTGGACCACCTGCACAATGAGGCTGCTCTGTTTGGCAGCTGCATTGCTGGTGCTCTTAGAACGAGGACAAACCCAGCAACATGATCTCACTGTGGCTGCAAATGAGGGCGCCTCGGCTGAACAGGAGAGGGAACAGGCTGAAGATGAAGAGGACGAACCTGCTCGCCATTTCAAGGCAACTCGAGAGTGGCAAGAGGTGCAGCCGGGTGAGTTAATACAGCTGACATGGGCTGCGCTGACATTGCAGTAACGGCCCGCTCTCACTATGTTTTTTCATTTCAGTGTGTTTGTTTGGGTAGGCATGAGCAATCGGCTTCTCTTTGCCACGTAAGATAAAAAGTGCCATGTAAAATAAAAAGGCAAAAGTGCAGATGCACTTTTGCCAAATTACCTAAGCTCCAAGGAGCACGCTGTATATAAGATTTCAAGTAAATAACTCCACTAATGCACACATGCGAATTGCCTTTTGCTTTAGAATAGTAACTGCTGCATATGCACACTGCACATGCAGCATGTGTAACAGTACTTGCAACATGCTTCTTTGTAACATAGCAATCGGTCTGTTGATGATGGGTATGTTTATTTTAAGGTGAGGTCCTTCCACGTGGTGTCCATGTGCGACTCGACCTTGAAACGGGAAGAAGGGAAGCGAAGCGTCTTGATGATGAAGAGCCTGGGGAGAGCCAGAAACGCACAGATGTTTCTAAGGAAGGTCGATTGCTCCTGGAGGAAGCCAAAGATGACTCTTCTAAGAGCTTACCTGTGAGTAAGGTGTGAAAAGTTCCAACATGTTCCAAAATCTGGCACCTTAGTAAATTCATGAAATACTAGCTGTTAAACGGGAACCAATTGGGTACATTAATGACCTTGCCTTTTTAGTGTAATGCGGCCACGCTTTCCAAACGTGGCCTGCAGGCAACCGGCCTACGAATTCCGGTTCCCGTTTTTTGAACGCTAGAAATGGCATGCGTCATAGTGATCTCATCTTGCCGATTCACTTTTGCTGGAAAAGTAGGTCTGTTCCTCAACGTGTTCATAGTTTATTTTTATCTGTGTTCATCTGCTTTTTGTTTCACTTTTTTTTTATGCTTCTTAGCTTTTTCCCATGTTAAACACCTCTACAACAATTCTGCTACTAGGCTGCGAGCACGAGCTCTTCATTGAAGGATGCATCTCGGTTGCGCAAACTCTCGATCATGCAACTGCCAAAGATAAAACTACAAAATCAAAATTCACGCCTACAAAAAAAAAAAAAAAATCACCATTAAGTGACAAGTATCTTTTCAGAGTATAGGTAATAAAAATCGTCAGGAAGAATTGTCAAATTAACTGATTGTTTTTCTGTACACATTTTGAGCTTGGTCAATTCCTGGGTGAATTGAGCCAAGAAACGACCCGTACTTGCACTCTTGTTCTATGTAAAATGCCACCACGTTGGCGGGGCGGTGTCATTTTAATTCTCTTTATCGCATCAGGTCAGGGTCGAAAGCACTCGTATATAAAAAAAAAAATAAATCTGAAGATGCTACTAGCAAAACCGAGTTTACAAAAAGCATAGAGCACCAGGTCTCTCTCTTTAACATATTTTGCCCCCCCCCCCCCCCCCCCCCCCTTTGTCTTACATTGGCCCTCTACCTTTCCGGGGTGGAATATCTGGCTCCCACACTGATTGCGCTATTTACCATGAGATGAATTATGATTGCAATTTTTCCAAGCTGCAAACGGACATTAATTCTAGGGCAGTTTCATTTGAACTCATGCATACAAAATACAAAGGTACATGGTGTACCTTTCTATTTTTCTTTTTTTTTTCTTCAAAATTTTATATGATGTGATGTATGCTACTTGGGCCGTAGATTTTCTCTTCTTTATTTATAAGGAAAGTCGACTGTTTTATGGTGTTTATTTATTTTTCAAAAATTTTATTTTGACAATTTGTTTTGTATAAACCAGGGGTCTCAAACACATTGTAGTGTGGGTGCCAGATAGCCCACCCCTGAAATGTCGAGGTCCAATCGGAAAAGGGGGGGGGGGGGGGGGGGGGGAAATATTTTAACATTTTGAGATTAAAAAAAAAAAAAAAAAAACCATTAATGCTGTTTATGTTGGAAAGCAGCCGGCTCTCCCAGCGACACTCAGAGATTTTCCAGATAAGAAACCCCGAGCTTTCTGCTTTTTGTAAGCTCGCCGTTTTGCCAGTGACATCTTTTGCTTTGATTTGTATATACGTCTACTTTGGGACCACAACTGATGTGGCAAGATTTAAAACGACAATGTGCTGGCAGTTTTCGATAGAACTAGAGAAATCACACTGTTGTTGTTGCCCTGTCGCACATAGGCTCAGCAGGCATGGAAACAAATATCTCCCCATATGGCAGTTTTTACTTTCTTGACAATTTTATAGCAGCATTATACGAAAATACTTGTAGTACTGTAAATGTATTTCCTAACGGCCAGAAGCCCGAGCACATAGCTTTATCTTCGGCAGTTGCTTGTGCTGAGCGAGAGTTCATGTTGCCGAGGTGCCTCTTTGTGCAAAGCTCACACTTGATAGCCTACCGTAGTGAAAAAGCCATTTGTATGAGAAATTTTTTGTTTCCAATAGACATATATATGTATCATACAAGATATATAAGAACATATACAAACTATATAAGAAATTTATAAGAAACTTCTTGCAAGTTTTGATATGGTTCTTATATGTTCTTATATATCTTATATAGTTCTAATAGGGTTCTTATATGTTCTTATATATCTTTTATGATTCATATATGTTTATTAAACACAGGAATTTCTCATAGAAATGAGATTTTTCAATAGGGTGGAATAGTGGTATCGTCGTTCCGGTTGATTTACATCAGTGCATGTTCTCAACCATTGATGTTTTGCGGACTCCTTGTGGATTGGCGGAGATGATGAAGGACCCCATTCGTGGTGAGGGGAGAGAAAAGGTATTGGTTAAATATAATAACAGTATTAAAATACATGTAACTAAAGGCTAGTGTAAACTAGACTTCTCTTATTGACATACACGCAAAAAAACTAGCCCGAAAATTGAAAAATTTTTCTCTATCTGAGGCACCACTGTCGCATTCGTTGAACGGATGCGCTCTGTATGGGCTCTGTCTTTTCCCACGTTCTGTGGCGTAAATTTCACGATTACCCTGGAAACAACCATCACACCGGGTGTCTAAAGGTCTTCGCTGCCGACGGACATCGTTTTTTGGAAGATTGGATCACCGCCTGGCTTCTACCAGCCGGTTACTCCATCCGGGGCGTGGCCGCCCGCTAACCCAAACCCAAACTTCGGTGCACCGCGGCGGGGCAGCGGCGGCGGGCCCAGCCGCCTTCTCCCCCGCTTGGCATCCCTCTCGCCATTTGGCACCTCCATCCCCGAGACCCGGAGCGACGCAATGGTGAGCATCGAAGTAGACGGCGAGTCCATCTCGCCTGAACAAGTCACCGAGGAGGCCGGGTGGCTAACAAGCCATCGTCGATGTGGCGCCCGAGCCCTCGCACAGCTAGGTTTAACCCCGGGACACTCCCGTGGTCAGGAAGGCGATGGCTCCCGGCCTACTAACCGGCAGCCACTTACCGAGAAGCAAACAATTCGGAAACCGCGCCTGCCGCACCAGCCGCCCTTGCCCAAGGAAGACATAAAGATCGTGCTGCGCCCGCAAGAGGGGCTCGACATCACAAAGATCAGCCACGCCGAGTTGCGCGACGGAGTGCTCCGTGCTACCGGTCTCGGCTACGACGAAGCGGCGGAAGATCTCCTCAGAATCAACCCCGCAAAAAACATCATCGTGGCGAGCACCCCCAGCATGGAGCATGCGAGCAAATACACCGCTGTCAAGGAGCTCCGCTACGGAGAAAAATCCTACAACGTTACCGCTTATGCGGCGCCTCCCGAGGACACCGTCAAGGGGATTATACACGACATCCCCGAATACGACAGTGCTGAGGATATTACAACAAGCCTTACCTTTAAGGAGAATACCACGATTCTGCAAGCACGAAGAATGGGCCGGACAAATTCGGCAATCATCGTCTTTGAAGGCACCAAGGTACCGTACTATGTTTACTACCGCGGCGCCGAATACCGCTGCTTGATACACAAGAAGCGGCACGAAGTGTGCGACGGGTGCGGCAGGCTCGGCCATCGCACGGACGTCTGCCCAGCACCCGACAAAAAGATCTGCAAGATCTGCGGCACCGAAATCCCGTCCGAAAACCATCAATGTGAACCCAAGTGTGCACTTTGTGGCCGGGATCATCCGACCGGTGACAAAAAGTGCCGACTCCGTTTCCAGACTCCCTACCTTTTCAAGAAGCGGAAGTGGGAAAAGCAACAGATACAGAACAACCGTCGCCGACCACAAAAAGGCTCGGGCAACCCAGCCTCGACGCCGTCCATACTCAAGAAAGACGAACCCAGCGGAGACACGCCCGGTCAGCGCGGTAGATCGGGCTCCTTCCCATGCCTCCTGCAGTATGAGCGACAAAGCAGACGGGACGTGAGTTGCGGACCAGGGACCAGGGACAGCTCCGCCAGCAGTCAACATCGCTCGCGCTTGTCGTCGCGGCGCCGGAGCCCAAGCATCCAAGGCTGCCAGAACCAGAGACGCAAGTCAAGATCCCCGTCTCGAAACGGAAGACAGCTAACCGGAGGCAATCAAACAAACTAGGTGAGCTGGGCAAACACGGTTTCCCACGGCCAAACCTCCCATAAGCGCAGTGCCCCTTGGAAGGGCGGGCCTAGCTCAGAACAATCAGATCAACAGTCCGAGATTACCAAAATTAGGCAGATGCTAGAGCTCGTCATCTCGGAAAATAAAAAACTCAAAGCCGAACTAGCACAACTAAAAGGAACCAGTGCCGACTCAACGCCATCCCCTTCTCCCTGCAACCTAGGCCAGGCCGCTAAGAAATCAGGCCAACCTAACCAGCTAGCCACGCCACCTAAGCAGTCACCTCAAACCCCATCCGAAAACGGCTCTGCCGACGCGATGGATGACTCACCACTTGACTCTCCACCGTCTAAACGCAGGGCCAAAGAAGTAAGCCCCAGTACTTTTAGCCAGCCCGCACTCTCGGGCTCCAAAAAAAATGCCGATGACGACATGCTCCGAGAATTTGGAGAAAACCTTAGTAAGACCTTAAACGAAACGCTCAGCGCGAAATTCGAAGCTATGCTGGCCCAATTCGCCGAAAGTATGGGCACACAAATCGCCAGCCTCAACGCTAGGGTTACAGCCTCTGAAAACGCCACCCTACGGGTGGGCAGGGATGGGGAACAGGCCCTATAATATCAACTAAGCCCTATTTTCGCCCACCTGCGGCGGAAAGCCCCCAAAATCCTCACAATCATGTCTAATTCCCAACACAATAGAACCCGAAAGTCCAGCACGCTCGTCGTCTGGCAATGGAACTGTCGAGGATTTCAAAGGAAACGCGCTCATCTCGAACAATTTATTAAAACCAAGAATTCGGACGAACTGCCTGACGTCGTTTATCCAAGAAACCGGCACCTTTGCAAAACTCTCCAATTACAAATCTTTCTCAGACTTAGAAGAAGATGCCTCTGGTGTAAACCCCAAGCAAAAACCCACGGTAGCCACCCTCGTCAGACGCAACCTCCCGGCCATTCGTCGCGATACCGGGAAGTGCGCCTTACGCGGCTCACGTCCTCGTTGAATTAACTCCGGACTGAAAACACAGGACGCACAGCACGTTCATTCTAAACGTATACAGCTCTCCCCGAAACACCC